AAGATTATAACCAGATCAAAAATAAATGGAGTCACATAGACAAAAGATTCATTAGCTTTGTGGGATAGAATTGTAGTCGTGAAATTTTGGTGGGGGCATATGAACAAGTGAAAAAAAAACATTATTATTCAGGAAGTATTGATTCCACCAAAATTGTCGATAAGATGCTAAGATTAGAACCTGGAAAACACATACAAAAAAAATACTAAAACAATACAAATGGCTTTGAGATTCCAAACATGCCAACCGAGTTTTTTGGAACTTGAAGATAGTAGGAAAGGCTACTACCACGCCAACTAAGTTACTCAGTTGACATTCGATTTGATATCTAAGAAGAGTGAACACAACCATACTGAATGATAACATATACTCCCTCCGTTCCAAAATAGATGACCCAACTTTGTACCAAAGTTGGTACAAAGTTGAGTCATCTATTTTGGAACGGAGGGAGTACTAAACAATGTTGCTATAAGTTTGTCTATCTCGCAAAGGGGCAAGTAGTAACTGAGTTTAAATTGTTATTGAGCAGTTAAGAATGAAAATGGAAGTATTCAAACAATCATGTCAAAAACATAATCCAGATTATACTCCTATATGTAGAATAAGGAGTAGGGATGAAAGATCACCTGACACATAGAAACTCTTGAAAGGATAATAGTTTGTATAATAATTGGTCTTATACAGTTTCCTGTATTGCATTGACTTAAGTTGGACCATATAGACACTGCCATATATATGCAAACATATTTCGTCAGTATCCTCATCGTACCCCATCAGCCGTCCCATATTTCTCTTAATCCGAGGAGAGATCCTAAGAATTTTATTCATGCCAATGGTCTTCTGCAACAACCATGTGCTAGCACCCTCACAATTGACCTTCCTTTGCCATATGCGAATTCTCGGTGTAGATAATACGGCAAGACCAACACCCCCATCCTCTGTCTTGATGATGATATGAAATCTGTGGAGTTTATTTATACCACTAGGCCCCTTGATCATAGCTAGACTCTGCCTATCAAAATCAAACTCAAGTATGCTCCAGTAAAGGACATTACCAATAAGAGTAACAGGAATAAGAAAACCAGGAGGCTCACATGGTTCCACTACTGTGATGAGATTTCCCCACGTGTCAGTCTCTGAGGAGTAAAGACAGGCGACTGGACGCCTATCCTGCCTGTACATGGACAACAAGGCCACCTTGAAGGAGGTAGAGTGGCAGCTGCCATGCACGTGGTCATGGTCGTCGGCGGCTGCACAGAGCACTGCCCCGTGGATGTAGGCACGAGTATTCTTGAACACCGGCGGAATGGACATGCGGCGGTGCTCGCCTCTGATGGGGTCACAGACAACAACCTCATGCTTTAAGTCGTCTTTCACGAGGACACGGCCGTGGCGGCAATCAAGCAAATGGCGATCAGCAGGCCACTTGCTGCAGCTTCCGAGGTCAAAGCGCTCAGGAGGGATGCAGTCAGTAGGACCTAGAATAGGGGCGAACTCGGTTGCCATGTGGGGGCGGCGGCACACGAAGGCGCCGAGGAGGGGCGGCGTGCGGTGGTGGGTGCGGAAGTGGCCGAGGAACTGAGGGTCATTGACGAGGCGTCTCCACCTCTTGCAGACTGCTGATGCGCGCAAAAGGGAAGACGGCTGAGACGGAAGACGGAGGAGGATCTCCCAGAGCATATCTTCATTATCGAGCAGGGAGGCAGGCGCCTCCGATGAGGTGCGACGGCAGCGACGACGGCCGACCATTGCTGCTCCCTCATCGCTGGCGTGGATATGGGGACCGGCGTGGGTTTGTAGATGGAGCCGCGGGCTGCGGCGGCGGGGCATCACGGCGCCCTCCTCATTGGATTGGACTTTGAGGCGTTTCATGTCTACGCCGCCAACAAGACCTAGATAGACGAAGGAACGCACGGGGTTTGTTTCTGCATGATTGACTTGAGGTTCCTGCTGGAGGGGCGAGGGCTGCATCTGCAGTGCACGGGATATATGCGTTTATTATTATTTTTATCAGGGATAATATGTACGTTTATTATCTTATCTGGAGGAGAATTCTTCTTAAGAAAAACTCGACTTGCTGAGCCCAAAGACTAGCGTATATTCTCTTGTAGTTTTGAACTTAGAAACCCTATCTCTATGTGCATGCATCTAAGCGTATATCGTATGGTCGTATATTTAAATCCAGTTGAAACTCCATAGGATTGAAGTCTACGCAATCATGTCGACAACTTGCCACTTGCCATTTGTATTTTTATGTTCACTAGGATAAAATATTATACACCGGGTGTTTTTGTATTTGCTGAGTTTCTTTCATCACGAACTCGGCTACTGGGGTCTTTGTCAAGAGCTATCTATGGGACGCCACTCCTTTACCGAGCACTCCCAAAAGTACTGCACATGGCAAATAGTGAGCACGACACCCGGCAAAGTGTATTTATTTTTCGAAAACACTAATGCCCACACGTGTGGCAACATTGCAACTCGCCGACACGCTTGAATCATCGTTCAGTTAAATTTGCACGAATCTTGACATATCGAGGCAGTTTTCGCGTGCCACGTAGGACAAGGCCGGTGTGTGGGCGTTGGAGAGGTCGTCCACACGCCCCACAGCACGTGGTTGCCAGCTGCGCTGTGGGGCGAATTAGTTTCTGCCCACACAGCCACCCTAGTCCACGCGCGTATGGGCGAACTGCTTTTCGCCTACACGACAGTCGTACGTTGTTGGATGGCAACTATGATCCGTTTGCTAGACGGCAACTGCAGTTGCGCGTACGTGGCAATCAGATAAACATACATGACAACTGTGATTAACCACACGTGGCAACTAGGTAAACACACATGGCAACTATTGATCATATGTGGCAAGTAGTTAATCACACACGACAACTATGATTTGATTACACGCGGCAACTATCATAAATTAGACATGACAACTATAGTTAACCAAAACAGAGAGAGTTGACATGCTTTTACAACCATATTTGCCATCCCGAATAACTACATCTGCCATTCCAGATGGCAACTAAATCGTCATCCCACGAGTACCTAATGTAGCTGTGCCAGGACGTGTGAGCATATTTGCTTCGTGCCACACGCGTGAGATGGGGATGAGTAGTACTTGTTGGACGTGTGGCACGAAGTAGCTACGCCCACACGTATGGAGAATTCTACTCTTCGCTCACACACAGCCCGTGTGGGCTGCCCCCTGCTCATGCCACACACTGTGTGTGGGCGAATACCTATTATGTCACACGTGTGATGGATATCGGCGTCCTTAGTTTTCTTTAGTCATTAGCCATTGTTGCTCTTGCATTAATGGCAGGTGAGCAGCTACTGAAGTGAGCAAGTGTTCAACTAGAGGGCCATTGCCGGTGAAATGTGTTGCCGGTGCCGACGCTTCTGAAGCTCGCCTGGATGTGAATGTGTGCAAAATACACTAGTGTACCAGGCAGCTGGACGGCCGGTGCACTGTAGACCGCTGTTTCTTGATTTTCCCAGTAAATTGTAGAAACATGCTAATTTTCAAACGTAATGATTTTATGCTTCAACAAAACTGTGAAAAATTTGGGGGCCGGCGACACGAAGTTCCTTTTTGTATAGCATTCATATCTTTATTTCTCCATCTCTGAAGGAGGCCACAACCTCCCAGCCTGGATCGAAAGGTGCCACACCATCAGAAGATGAATAAGTTCCGCAGAACATAGATTTTTGCTGCCAGAAGATGGCCACATAGAAAGGATCGGGTGTCTCCTTGAGCAGAACACAACTGCCAGGCCACAGAGGAGGAAAAGAATCACCCGTCGCGTGGAGACTAAGTGTCCCAAGGAAAGGCGGGGCAATGCCACCGACGGCGAGCAGCACCGCAGCTGCTCGACTCGCCGCTCCCCACGTCGAGCCACCCGTGCGCCTTCCTGGACGCGCTTCGCGCTGGGATATCCATCCGCTACCGGGAGATTATATGCAAGATACAATGGGCTAATGGTAAGAACCAGATGATATCTCGTGTCCTGGTTGGCTTGCCACCTGATAGTACATCTGCCTGTCCAGCCCAACAGAAGAAGCATGGCACTGTTTTCCACTATACTGTAAGAGCATCTCCAACAGGTGCCCAAAAACTGGGCCACGCGCTAAAATTCAGGTTTTTTGGGCGCTGGACAGCTCCAGCAAAAACTGTAAAACAGTGCGAGCACAAAAAATGGTTGGGCGCGCGCTGAAAAACGCTATCAAAAACTGAAAATTTGAGGCAACTGGATTACGCGCGCTTCACAATTTATACTGCATGTTCTTTTGGGCGCGCGTTTCTGGGCATCAGCTAAAGCAACAATGGGTCCGGCGTACTAAAAGTGCTACAGTGGCGCGCTAAAACTATTTTGGGGCGCGAAATTTTTGTGCACCTGTTGAAGATGCTCTAACTAAGCAAAAAAATAATCAGCGAGGCTTGCTAACACGGATGTATAAAGATGGTATGATTCAATTTCAGGGTATTGTTCTAAGAGATCTGCACAAGAGAATCAATCTTGTTAATCTTTTTTTCTCGCAAGGTATTATTCCTAATTCTATTACTTCATTCTTGTTGATGGTTAATAAAGTTAGAAGTACACTCCAAAACTCTAGCTCATGGTGGAAGAGAAGAGAAGCCAGGCACAACCATGTAAGAATAACAAAGATGCGACAGATCCGACTTCAGATATCACTTGGGGAGCGCAAATTCCCTGGCTGGGTTATTCGAAAGCATCTCGTTACATCAGAAAAATATAGGTAAACAAAATATAACCAAATCTGAATTAAAATTGATGCATTAGAAACAAATTAAGGTAGACAAAGGCACATGTTCAGGGAGTTATTTCAGGTAACATATGAGCACCGTAGACTAAATTGATGTGATGTGACAAACTCAGCAACGAGAACTACAGCAACCATTACTTGCCTTCACCTGGAGAAAACAAAATTGTTAACCACTAGTAAGCTGATACAAATAAACTCAAAACCTAGTAGTAGCATCTGTACAACAATGTAGTATGAACAAGATGTGCGTACAAACTGATCATGGCACCAACTAAATACTTTGAGCCTTTTGACACCGTAATTTTTCAGGGTGAAGGTATTTTTGTAACAAGAAAATGGATTAGTAATATATAGCTTCCAAGTTACAGATTCTAAAACAGCAACCGAGGAGAACTCTAGGCATGATGAGATAGTTGATTGAATTAATTCTAGTCTAATGGAGGACAAACTGGGAGTGGTTCAACTCTTAATTTTCAGAATATATCTTCATGATTGCATTTAGCATCGTCTCTGCAGTCAGTTTTAACTCTTAAGACTCCTAGTCAAGGTGAAATAGCAGAGCATCCACTTTTATCTGTAATTCTGAAAACACATTGCTATGCTAAACGAAGACCCGATTTCTGAATCTACAAGTTGCACATGGCACAACAGCTCCGCGTCTGGAAGTTACTGATTGATGTGTTATGTTCCGGTAACTAGTTGTCCCGTAGCTGCATCGAAGCACTTCCCAAAAAGAAAAGAAAATTCTAACAGTACAAACTCTCAAACTTTATATTCAGATGATATTCTTACCCGTGAACCATTCCAAACAACATTAGCACATCAAACAGAACAGGCGTCCTATCTATGATGCAACATTCTAGCTCCACCACAGCTGCGACATAAGGAGTCAGAGAATTAACTCAATTTTATAACTCTATACAAGTTTTATAACCCCCTTCTTAAGACTAGCAATAGATAAACAGTACCACGTAGGTTGTAAAATGCAAGGAATACTCCAATAGTACTCGGAATTTAGTTGATACAATAAAAAGGAAAAAGGACATGGCCTACAAATCTTCTCATGTGAACTCATCCCCTGTCATGTAACCAGACAAGATTATGCTAAAAATAACGAACTCTTACAGTAAAATTGATCTTGGGTATTACATGTTAAACAAATGAAGCCAGAGACAAGAAATTAAATTTATTTTTATGTGCTACCTATGTACTAGTCACCTGCAGAAGGGGTCATGAACAAATGCTAAAAATACAAGTATTTCAAAAAGTGTGGATTCAATGCAAGTTATTTTATGGAGTTGAGCTTAATACCAAAAAGGGAAGTCCGGTGAACGTAGCTCGCGCTTGCGCTGGGTTCGGGGAAGGGTCCGACCACTTTGGGTCTATTGTATGCAGCATTTCCCTACATTACTACTAGAAGTTGTTTCAAGGACTCAAACCCGTGACCTCATGGTCACAAGGCAACAGCTTAACGCTGTGCCAAGGCTTAATGCCAAGATAAAAACAAATAATAAGGGAAGAACTATATAACTAGTTTTGAGGTTTCAAACATGACATGGATCTAACATTTTGATGTTTGGTTGAGAATCGTATAAAAGGCAAAAGACAACTATATTGGATGATAAGATTATCTTATTATACAAAAGTAACACAACTATAAGTTCATTTATCTAGAAAAGGGACAGTTACTAACTAAGTTTTACTACCAGGACTTGCTTACTAAGTTCATTCAAGAATCATAATAATTGTATTTGAGCAAACATGCATACAACATAACTAGATTGGGTTATTATTACTCCTATATGATATGAACAGGGATGAGCACTCACTTGGTGGATAGAAACTCATGAAAGGATAGAAGTTAAAGTCACCATCAGTTCCATAAATTCTCTTGGATTGCATCGACTTAAGTTGAATCATGTATACATCGCCATCCATATCTATAAAAGTCGTATCAGTGTCGTCATCATAGCATAGTATAGTTTTCATCCTCGGTGACTCAATCTGGGGAGGGAGGCCAAGAATTTGAATTGTCTTCCACGGCACCCATGTGGCAACACCACGACTATTGACGTCCCGCTGCCATG